CTAAGCCCTCGTGCACATGCTGACCAGGCAGCAGTGTTCACTATTACACCCACTAGCCATTCAGTACACTGGTCAAGATACAAAGCTGATCAGTGGAACAGAAAATGTTCTGGTGAAAACCTACACAAGGTTTGTCACTCATAATCGTTAACCGAGAGATAACCTCGGTTTATGCTGTTATATAACAGCTGGAGGCAGTCTCTACCGTCCAAGATATGCCACCGTTAGATCTACCCGACTTGGATGCTTGCGGCGTGACTTTTTTGAGGAACTCTTGGTCCTCGCGTCCGGGACTGGTATTTGTGCCCAATCCTGGTTTGCTTTGTTTGCCTTCTTTCTTTTGGGCACCCGAGGTTTCGTCTCCTTAGGCTAATCCGGTTCGCTGGTGTTGCCCACCAATTTTCCCTAAAGATGCATGAGCATTCCCCTATCAACGCATAATTAACTAGAAGAGGGCTACAGTAAGTATAAAAATAAAAAAATGAAAAATGTTCTTTTTTCGGTTTTTATAACAAAATATTTTTCGAAGGAGTGCTCAAGGGGAGGCAACTAGACCTAGATACTTATCAAGTCGAGACTTCAATGATGTTATGCTTGTTGAAGAGGCTATCTCTTCTGGCAATGCGTTACAGTGAGTAATTACCCTGAAGGTGAAGAAATATGTGCGAAGTGTGTTGCGGGGTTGAAGTTTGTATAGACTTTTGCTATTACCCCGTGTTCCACCCGTGGGGGCTAAAGTAAAATCTTGTCTAATAGGCCCGAGGAGAACAGTTGGTGTAGCAGAAATAAGTCACTCTTAATTTGCCTGACTTCTAGAGGATACAGATCAAGCTCCACCAGACGTTCAGGATAGGGGAGGTGTTGCAATCTGGCCACCGTTTTGTTGCCGCTCTTTGAACTCGTTCAAGAACATTACGATCACGGATCAGGCCGGAGTGAACAACTTGAGTACCATCTTCTAGGAGAGGACGGATATATGAGCCAAAAATAGGTAGAAAATCTTTCTTGGTGATATGAGGGAAAGACCTTCGAAAAAGATGAGAACACGGAAGGCAGATTTGCCGGCTACCTGGCTATGTTGCGAAAAAGAGAGGTTACTATTTAACCAGAAGCCTAGGATCTTGTGCAAGTTGGTTTGCTGAAGAGGTTGCGTACCACTTATATGAAACGCGATGCAAGGGGAGTTCCCAAAAGTCATGTCCACAAACTTGTCATCATTGATGGGCAGATTCCATTCAACGAACTAGTGTTTAACAGCATCGGTAGATGTCTGTAGCATTCGGGTGTCTGTACTCCAGATAGTGACATCATCTGCGTACATAGCTAAGTTTGCAGGTAATGCACTGGGTAGATTATTATTATAAATAAAGAAGAGAAAAGAACCGAGAACAGATCCTTGAGGGACATCGGTTGTAATAGGCTTAGGTTCGGATAGTCTACCGTTTACCCTTACAGAAAAAGTGCGGTGAGAGAGAAAGCTGCAAATAAGCGATAGAAGAGGATCAACGATTCCGCACGCCCCTAGCTTGTGTCTGAGTGGGATGTGTGGGACCTTGTTGAAGGCTTTGGCAAAATCTATGTATACGGCGTATCAGATTTGGCTTTCATCATAAGCCTTTGGTAAACTATCCACGACAGCAAATTGGTGATTCAAGTTCCGCCTGGCAGAAACCCGTGCAGAAAGGTTGAAAGTAAATTATTGGCGCAGAGGTGTTTCAAGATGGCCTCTTTTAGCATGCGCTCTAGAATTTTGCTCGGGACGCTAGTCAGGGAGACAGGACGGTAGCTCACTGGAAGGAATCTACTACGCTTTTGTATATGGGGGAGAGAAATGCGGCTTTTCAGCAAGAAGGGAATATTCCCTCATCCATACACCGTTGGAAGAGTCGGGTGTATGGGCCAGCTGAGATATCCGCCGATTCTTTAAGAATTCTAAGATCTACTTTGTCGGGCCCCATAAAGCAGTAAAGGTTGAGGTTCCGTAGTTTTTTCTCTATGTCTAACTGTGAGAAAGTGATATGGCTGAGCACAGAGTTTAATGGAAAGGGCTGTAGTATCGGGTGGGTAGTGATGGGAGTGGAGCTGAAGATGATCTGGTAATGCTTTTTAAATTCGCCTACAATCTGCGAAGGGGCAGTTACTTCTGTCTCATCTGGTAATTTGAGGACGAGACGGAGGTGAGCTGTGCCGCGAAGTCGACGGATACACTTATAGAGGAACGGTCTGTTTTTTTGAGCTCGTTCAAGTATAGCTCTTTGCGTGCTCAGTTTGTAATCTCTAATAGTTGAGTGACGATTTATTCTATATTTTGTGTAATATTGTCTACGGGCAGCTCTAGAGGAAGACCGTCAAACTGTGCCTTAAGAAACTCTCTTAAAGAACTGAAGTTGGTACCCTTGAAAGATCTTACCATGATAGAACGTGGACGCACCTGGTTGCCACTGAGAGGATCCCCGAGGAGTCCTCTCTTAGTGTTCGGTGTGGCTGGGTTGGAAACCGGTCTGGGTTTAGTCTGCTTTGTACTTTTCAGCTTCTTTTGCCTCCTATTCATAGGTGCTTTGATTGAAATCCGGTTCTCTTCTATGAAACTATTGTTTGCTGAGCTGGCCGCCATTGGTTTAAGGCGAACCACAGTCTCGTCTAAGGGTCTGGGGTCTGGGGAACAGGGTTGGGACTTGAGAACTTTTGAGTCCAACCGAACTGCTGAGATGAAGGCGCTTCTCAATAGTTCGGTGTTTCTGGGGTCAACTTTGGGGCCTTTTGGTGTGGGCTGTGAGAGTCTCACGTGCAAACGTTTGTCTATGTAGACACCCCTCAGGCCTAACCAGGAGCGCGTTAGGGTGGGTGCTTGGGTGGCGAGCTTGGAAGGCCCCAATTCGACAAGAAAGCCCAAACGTTTCCGTGAACCTTTGGCGGTAAGCCAAGTACAGCTAATGGGTTTATACTTATGCGGTTCTAGAAGGCTCAATATATTCTTACATAGACTTTCCAGAGTGCAAAACACAGAGCACCGCCTCCAAAATATAACCCGCTTGGTACATAGTTCGCTATGCTTTAGTTTCTTTGCAACATTCAGTATTTATTGCTGCGAAAGCTTAAGAGCCATGTTCGCAGCGCAGTTTGTTGGGACAGATGTTAGGAGCAGAGCTTGTAAGTTGGCGAGTTGGTCACCAAATATGCTCAGCCTAGCTTTAAGGTCCTTTATTTCTAAGACCTGCTCGTGAATAACTCCTAACGGATCGGCTGGAGAGTCCTCCGAACTCAAAGTAGCCTTGTCATAAAACATTGGTAAGCTATCTTCGTCTAGAGGCAGAGGAAGCTGATGAAAGGAAAACATGTCCAAACGTTCAGTAAGAATAATTTCAGAAAGGCAAATGGAGAATAATAGGGGATATAGACTACCGATAAATTGGACAGCAAGGTAGGATTAAATTAATAATAATAAAAATAATAATGTATATTTCACGAATCTCGTGAAGCATGCACAATGCATGATCATATGTTCAAAATAATCATATGTAAAACGACAGTACAGGTATATAGATAGACTACTTGGAAGACGTACATACTGGAGATGGTAGGGGCTGTGTAAACGGAACACAAAGCGAACGAGGTCAGAAACGTTGATGTGGAGGATGGAAGAATGTGCTGTTTGAGTATATCAGTCGAACGGCTGGAGGCAGTCTCTACCGTCCAAGATATGCCACCGTTAGATCTACCCGACTTGGATGCTTGCGGCGTGACTTTTTTGAGGAACTCTTGGTCCTCGCGTCCGGGACTGGTATTTGTGCCCAATCCTGGCCGGCGTTTCGGTGTATTCGCTTCTAACGTTGCCGAGCTGCGGTTTTCCGACACCCTTTCGTCGGAAGAGGTTCCTTGTGCTTCGTTCCTGCGATTATCTTGCTCTGAGGAAGCGGACTTCTGTGCTACAGTTTTTCGTTTTGCAGCAGCTGCGGGGCTGGAAGCGGTGGTGGTTTTCTCCGCTCCAACAACTTGCGCTCCGCTACCCCTCAACTCTCGCAGCGGATTCCCTTCAGGTTTTGGCGTTGACTTACTCAACGGTGTACCCTTCGGTCCTTGTGCGCCCTTTGGTGTGCAAACCTGACATTGTGCCTTCTTTGAGTTAGTTGCCGATCTAGGTTTTTCGGGCGCTCCTACCCTTCTTAGCTTAACTACTATCTGTGTTGAAGCTTTAGAGCCAAATAAGAATCTTTATTTTCATTTCAGTTAAGGTTTAGGAACCCCGTTTGAACATTTCCGCTCAAATGGTGTCGGTGCTACTTGGACTAAAATGTCTTTGGTACAAGTATTGTGACCTAATATCTAGTAGGCAACATATTCTTCGAATCATTCTCACTCAATTCCATCGGCCATTTTCCGTGGCGTATGCTAACCAGATAGCTGTGTTCACTTTCGCAACCAATTCTTAACAGTACACGGATTTAGTTTCAAAGCTGGATCTGCGGAATTCAAAACTCTGGTGAGCACTCAAAAGCATTTTGTTGTCTTAACGCGCTGAAACTCTTCGATATGGTCTTACGTCTATATTCACTCCGGTACCCTATCATTTTAGTACAACGTGCTAGGTGTGCACTTATTTTTAGTATTGTTCCGTCGCGTGCTCTGTTTCCCCTCTCCCTTCCCTCTTCAGCTGGGCACTACCCCAGACTGCTCCATATCGCCTCTTTGTTCTAGATTCGGTTGGCTTGGGCCTGCCGAAGGCTTGTGGTCCTCACCCACAATGGACAATCTGGCGCCGGCAATGTTTGTTGGGCACGGTTGTTTCCACCGTTTTGACTACATGCGTCCGCGTTCCGGACCAGGTTGTGGATCACACCCCCTGCCTCACTTACAAGGTGTTTTAAGGTTGGGTGTTTAGCGTGTAGTCAGTCCCACATCAAAGCGATCAACGCCTAAATAAAAATAAATAATATAAACCAGTCATCCGTTAACGGTGAAGCCCTTTACTCTTTGTTCAAGAAGTAATTCCATCTACATCTACTTTTGGAACAGTTTATTTCTGATCCATTTGTCGTCCTACTGTATTCTGTTTTACTTCCTTTGTTCCACCGCAGCTCTTCCTCAGTAAATCTAAAGCTTTCACGTCCACTACGCTTCTATTCTTCAAACTCCTTTCCGCGCATTATCTCCCGAGCGGATATTTCCACATCCAGTTTTGTGTCTTCCTCAATGTTCTACATACGACAATCGTTTACATTGATGTGATCTCCATATCGGATCACCCTCAGTACTGCGTTATATGGCCTTGTCCGCTTTGTGTTTCTGTCTCACCGCAATACGTGGTTACGATGTCTTTTGTACCCGTTTGAAAATTACGTTTTTACCCTCTCTGTACATTTAATCTTTCGACCGTCATTTTTTAAATTGTTGTACATTTGATCATGCGCACTAGCATGCCTCATGGGCTTTGTGAAATATACCGTTGTTATTATTATTATCAGAATACGGGCGATGTAATTAAAGTTCAATTTTCACAAATGAAATCATGTTTCGCATGCAGGTGATTGTGTGTATGTAAATAGATGAATGTTGTGATGACATGGGTCACACCTTCGAGGTAAATGTCGTAAATTGTTTATCAATCTGATATAAAGACACTCAGTAACGAAATGAAATGGAGAAAATGTATGACAAGGACGTGGAAACGCGTTTATATACAGAAGAAGTGAATATCACTGGGGTGCAATTAATACAAGGGGCAGGCGAGTGAACATGATACACGGCGGGTCTCCGCAACTCCATCAAGTAACGGCATAGTGGTCATCTCCCTCCAACCAACAAACTCGTCGAATATCGCGCACCTGTTCACCGGCAGAGGTTTCCAATTTCACTGTTCTTACTAGCCCATCTGAGTCCGTGTGGCTTTCTATGACTACAACTAGTGGCCAGTTGTCGCGTTGTAGCTTTTCGTCGGCCATAAGAACAACGTCCCCAACCTCCAGCGACCGTTCTCTATGCAACCACTTCTGTCAAACTTGGAGTGTTGGCAGGTACTCTCTTGTCTAACGCTTCCAAAACACCCATGCCAGGTATTTCGCACGCTTCCAACCCGAGGTATATCAGA